TGGAAGAGGCTTCCTACAGATGACAACATAGCTCGCTTTAAATATCTGCGTAATTACTGTAGTCGCCTGTGTAGAGATGCTAAGAGAAGGCACATTCACGATAACGTTGAGAAATGCGATTCCACTCAGACCTGGAAATTCCTAAAGTCGAGATAACATCGTAAGTAGCATCGTAACTACCATCGCGCCACCCTTCGTATTTTGGCTGACTGTATTTTACCGACATGTACCTCTTTCTCCTTCCGGTCTGTTACCGAATGTGAGGTGAAAACTCATATTCTCTCTATTTCTTCTACTGCTGTTGGCAATGATGATCTCAGTTCCCGTATGATTAGCCACATACTCCGTGAACTAGTCCCTATCCTTACTCATGTTTTTAACTTCTTTTTAGAAGGTAGTTCTTTCCCTTCTCAATGGAAAGTCGCCCATGTTATACCTTTACCCAAAACGTCTAACCCTACTTGCCTTTCCGAATTCCGTCCCATTTCCATTCTCCCATTTCTATCCAAAGTCCTTTTTTTTAGTTGAAACTTTCTTCGAATAACTTGCTTTCCCCGTTTCAGCCATAGCTGGGCATAGCACTGTGGCTGCACTGTTGAAGGTAACAGATGATATTCGCCTCGCAATGGACAATGGTATTCTCACGTTGCTTATACTTTTAGACTTCAGCAGTGCTTTCAACTCTGTCGACTTTGACGTATTGCTTGCTTCTCTTCGCTCTTTTAATATTTCTCCTTCGGTTATAGCTTGGTTCAACTCCTACCTTAGAGGCCGCTTGCAGTGTATTCGCTCTGATGAGGCTTCATCTGATTGGTGTGACTTAGCTGGGGGCGTTCCTCAAGGTGGTGTTCTTTCCCCTCTCCTCTTCTCTGTTTTCATTAACTCTGTCACTTTGTGCTGTCTTCAAACTTTCATCTCTATGCTGACGATTTGCCGCTTCCCCGCAGTTTTAAGGCGTTTTAAGGCTGATTTACGAAGCATCGCTCATTGGCGGGAGTCTTTTGGTTCATTAGTGAATCCCAAAAAGTAGCAGGCTATGATTGTAGGATCCAATATGCGTGGGATCTAGATTCTGTCCCACCTATAGCGTATAATTCCACGCCTATTGCATATGCTTCTACTGCAACTAATCGTGGCTTACTTTTAGATTGTAATTTGGTTTGGACTCCACATATAAATGACGTCAGTCGTAAAGTCCATTTCTTCTTGCACTAACTTAAGCGCCTCCAAAACGTGTTACCTTTAAAGACCAAGATATGTTTAGTCCCAATACTTGTTTTGCCCTTATTAGACTATGCAGATTCCTGCTATTTGGTTACTATTGAAGAATTGCTAAATAAGCTTGAACGACGGCAAAACTTATGTATAAGGTTCATCTTTGGGCTTCGTAAATATGACCGAATTTCACATTTCTGCAGTCAGACTCAAATGGCTTCCCATCCATCTCAGCAGGAATTTGAACATTGTCTTCATTCTTTATAATATTATACATAACCCTGTGTCTCCCGGGTACCTGAAAGAGCGTATCAGCTTTCTTAGGTGCCAGGATAAACCTTGTCGCTCTCTTGTTAGGTCCCAGTTATCTTTTCCATGCTTCAATTCCGGTTTCTATTCTCACTCCTTCACTGTTCATGCAGTCAGACTTTGGAATGCACTTCCTATTACTGTTTAAGAAAGTATATCGTTAGCTAGTTTTAAAGTGAGAGTTAAAGGCATTATTTATCTACTATTCCATTCATATATTAGGTATTATATTATAAAATATAGTTATAGTGTCCTGTATTTAGGTCTGCAGGCAGAAATTTCTATTAGAAATAAGCAGAACCTTTTGTTTTTAATTTCGCTTGTATTCATTGTGACTTGTTGTATTTTTCCTGTACAATAAACGATTAAATAAATAAATAAGAATGTATCAACTTGTGAGTCAATTATGATATCCCATTCCCATATTGATAAGAAACCACCGACATTTATATCTAAATAGACGCCACAAGTGTACGTACTTTGCGTGTCCAATGTAAGCTATAAACGCTTCGTTGCCGCAGCTACGCTTCAGAATACGTCCGGCCGTTATCGTAGATAAACATCAATCGAAAACGCAAAAAATGCCTATTGTGGCACTAGAAAAACACAGCAGCTATGGAATAGATGAATATACAGGAAAGTTTCCTTCCACAGTCAAGTAATTTTGTTAGCAGAATATGCATAATTTATTTTAAAATCAATTATTTTTGGAAATGAAACTATTTTTCCGGATTTAGAAAGAAAGAAAAGAAAGAAAGAAAAGTAATTTATTCAGCACAATACACGTGGAGTATAATATTAATAATTAGTATTAAAAGTGTATTATTGCACTGAAAAGGACCCAACTCAGCTAATACTGCGGCAGGGCCACAGCGCTGGTTTTCAGTGGACCCTTTTCGAAAATGCCGATTAAAGGAAATAAAAATATATGAATAAAATAAAAAACAAAACGTGGACGCGAGTTAAATAAAAACTTAAACATGAAACAATATAATTAAATAGGAAACATAACACAAATTTCAGCTAATGTCCCAATAAAAATTCACTCTGCTTTTTCTTTTTAATTTTGTATTTTGAGGCGCATTACACAAATAAAATTGTTCCAGACGTGTTTTGTAGATTTAGAATGTGCTCTTTGAGTTGACATTTGAACGCACAAACGGATTGTGAAGAACGCATTGGTGGCGGTATGTTGTTCCAGATTTTCGCCGCGGAATATTTAAAACTGCCTTTATATGCCGAAGTTTTGTGTTTTGGAATGCAGAGTGGAAACCTGCAGGTACGCAGTCTATTAGTCCATGTGAGACGTTCATGGAGGTAAAAAGGTTTTTTGCTTTTTATCACTCCAAATAGAAGCGTGGCTAAATGGGAGTATCTTCGCGACGAATTAAACCGCTCGCTACGACTACGCTAACGATTTAAACCGCGTATATTTGGTTTTTCAAACAAACCGACGTTTCGGGCCCTTTACAGGTCCCATGGTCACGGTTGACTGAGGTGGTACAGTCTTCAACCAGTTATGTCTAATATTGATGCAAAGCACCTTATTTTTTCACTATAGTTACAATAGTTATTAATTAAATACCTTATTTTTAATTTTACAAAGAAAACATTCCAATTTACGCTATATTCAGTTTTACAAATTATTTTATCAAATGAATTTTTATTAAGTTCAATTTATTATTAATTATTAATAGAAATTAGAATAAACTAAAACATATTAATTAGTACTGCAGTCTTGTGTCTGTTTGGGATTTTTCATTAGAGGAAATACTGGATCCCAAACTGGTGGTACGGAGAAACCATCTTCCCTGTTGAAATTAGGATGTTTTTTAATTTCAATGGCCTCTCGCAGCATCCTGGGTAGATAACAGATTTCTTTTGCAAGGACCTGGGGTTTGTCAAACTTCATTGAATGTGTAGGTTTATCCATGACATGCTCACAGACTGCAGACCTGTTTACGCGACGGTGTTTGACATCAGCTATATGTTCTTTGACGCGGGTACAAATACTTCGCTTTGTTTGTCCAATATAAGAGAGACCGCACTCACAGTCAAGCTTCTAAACTCCTGCATCCTGTAAGGGGATGTTACATTTTACGGGTCTCAGGAACTGAGAAATCTTCCTCAGGGGTTTGAAATAGGTCTTGATAGATGCGCGACTGAGGACTCTTCCGATCTTGTCTGTAACACCTCTCACGTAAGGTAAGATGGCAGGTCTTCGCTCGACTGTTGGTGGTTTCACACGGGGCCTACAAACACACCTACAAATTGACAGTATAGCAATTTTAGTGGAGGCTGGGGCTCAGCCGGTCGCCACAGGCTCTTAGTGTTCCACTGGCGATCCGATATGTTGCCGACCAGCTGTGACGCAACCGCCATCGTATTTGTACTTCTTTTTTTTTTAATTTACATTAGATTTATAACATACTTTGGGGAATTTATCGCTCCCCTAACGAACAATAAAACGGCCTCGTGAACTTTGTGAATGGCGATATAATTATAAAGTTTCGTGGTTTTTACAAATAGCTTTTTATCAAACCGGGCAAACAATTTGCAATCCTGACATGACCATTTACGTAATTTTTTTTTTTTAAATTTATTAAGGCTTTGGCAAAGCCATTAGCCTAAACATGAAGTTTAATTATGTTTCTGTAAATATGGCCGCCACAAAGAGGATAGGCAATTTGAGGCGGCGTGCTTGGATTGACTCGGGGTTTCTTAAAACGGGCCGATAAGTGTATTTTAGTTCGAGATTCGTATAATTTCGCGTTTTAATCTTCGATTAAGGCACAATAGCACTATCCTATTCCACTTTAAACTAGATTTCACAAAATAATTGAAAGTCAAAATAAAAACGACACTTTTCCCTCCAAAAGGTCCAGAGCGAATCCCATTTACGTAACTAAAAACTGTCAAACATTTTCGGCAAGTGTGACACTCTCCTTGGCGACTCTCGTCCAAAGAGACTGCCACAGCCAGCCGGTGATAATAGACGGCTTCTAAAGCCGCTACACCACGGAGTGAAGAAACCGAACTTAAAAACAAAAATTAGCCTATTGAACAAAATCACTAAAATCTTTAAAACGCATGTCCTGACCGGGTCGTAAGCGGAGTGCCGGGCGAGGGTACATTTGTACCCCCACCTGCTGTGCCACCGACTAGGCATCCCCTGGCTACAGTCCCGCCGCAGTTACCGTCTTCAGTTCCTTCAGACAAACCAACCAGCCGCCACAATACTTTTTGACTGTTTTTATTTAGCAAAATTTTGGTAGTTGCTTCCGCTGCGCTGCCTTGTTCGGTTTCATATTCAATTTTTCAAATTAAACGTGTTTTAATCTGCATGTAGGTGTTTCCATCACAGTCCACCCGCCAATACAACTCTAAGGTTTGACACAATACTGCCAAGTCTTGGTGAATTTATCTTTTTCTTCATAGATTATATAGTCATGAAATAATAATTGCATGCTCCGGAACGTAAGTGTCAAAGTAAACACCTCCGACAAGGATAATAAAGCTCGTTAAAACAGTTGAAGTTGAAGTTGAAAACAAACTTTTCTAACATTTTTGTGCAAAATCATTAAGTTATTAAAGCGGAAAGCTCCAAAATACCTGGTTAGTATTTTTAGCATTATTTCTTTTAATAGAATTGAACGACAGCAATCTAACCTCCAAGCCACTTTTTTATGGTATTTCCCAAACCTGGATTATGTTTAGAGCTTAAGTGTAGTGTTTTTCTAGAGAATCCTGGCACCATCCTCATCCACTTGCCCTACTTTTAAGACGAGTTCCAGAGAACAAGCGGGAAAAATCTCTATCAAATCTCTGTGATCTATTATTTGTTCCATTCTCAATCTAAATTGTTGTTCCAGCGATGTCGGACACTGAACTGGATTCTTCAGAACTAGGCACTCATGAATACTGGCAGAGAACTTATACAAAGGAGATATCGAATTATGATGACCATGGCGACACTGGCGATGTCTGGTTCGGGGAAGACAGTGCCATCAGGGTCATTGATTGGATATGCCGATGTGATTTAGAGAAAGACATTGCTGTTGTCGACTTAGGTAACTGATGGTTGTATATTAATTAGTGTTGTGTGGCGGTAGTTTAAAAAATGTTATGTGGGTGGACGAAGATTCGACCGCCGAGATGGAGATGTAAACACCGTATCATCAGTCAACCCGTGACCACGGCCAGTGCAACCTGGCCTAAGCCTGGTTTACTCCCATTCCCAAATGTTTGTATAATAATGGATGATTTATTCTAGAACATTATATAGGTAATCTATCACAAACTCAGTTTTTTTTAAAATAAAGTTAGATCAAATTTTCATTATACCAAAAATCGAATTATAACGAAACTGTTATTCTTTCAGGATATGTTGGATGTTTATCACAAAGACACGATTAGGTTTAGTTAGGTTAGTTTAGTTTAGTTAGTTAGGTTAAGTTAGGTTTAAAAGAAAAAAACATTTATCTCTCAAAATTACTTTCGAGGTTATGAATTCAAGGAAACGTTATTTCTGTAAAAAGTCATTTCGGACTTCTGATAGGTAACCCATTATATCAACTGCCTCCGTGGCTGAACGATTACTATGCTAGACTGCCATGCAGAGGTCCCAGGCCAGGAGAAATATTTGTATGGCCTACATTTGTTTCTCTCGTGAGTTTGGGTGTAATCTGTGGTTGTCTATGTGTGTGTCCATGGCACCTGCGACACGGGGTTTCCCTAATGCGGGGCTATGTTGAGTGTGCATTATTATTATAACTTTTTGTTATATGACTTAATAATTAATCATATTTTACTTTTATACAAACATATTGTTCCACCGTAGAGTACATGGATATGATCTTGTAATATATGTTATAATTTGTGAGGTTATTTATTAGGTGTAAAATTTTATTTTACAGAAATGGATAAATTTTTTATTATTTATTTTTTATAATATCAAGTGACGGGACGAACAAGTCGTGCGCCTGGTGGTAAGCGACACGCCTGTCCATAACAGTTGCAGTGCCACTCAGAGTTTTGTTAGTTCTCCCGTCACCCTGAGACATAAGTTGACAAGTCCCATGTGCCTGTAATTTCACCAGCACCCTTACCCTCCAAAACCGGAACACAGTAACGCGGACATTACTGCTTGACAGCAGAAATAGGTAAGCTGGCAAAACTACCCTGGACAAACTGTTTCACAAGGAAGTATACTCTATAAATTACATAAACTTAACACATGTGATCATGATTTTGATATAATTATTATTATATTATTTAATATGTTTCTACATTATTTCACATAACTACATTAACTATGTACAAATTATGTAGTACATAACTTGTACTGGATATTTGTATTTTTTTTTAAATGCAACTTTACTATTTGTAATGATTCTTGTAATACAATTATTGTAAAGTTTACAAAATAAATAAATAAATCTTTTTTTATTAACTTATATTATACAGGCAATAAATTACTTCATCTATAACATCATAGCATCCTGAAGACCATAGGTCTACCCGAGCTCAATCCATCTGGCTCTGTCCCTTGTCAGCGTAGGCCATAGGGGGCCAGTTAGATTTTTAAAGTCATCAGTCCGTCTTTTAAAGGGACAACCTCTGTTCCTCTTGATATTTTCTCTTGGTAACCATTCTGTTACCTTTTTGGTTCACTTTTCTACTCCTTACCTGTACATAAAATACCATATAAAAGAATTAGAGACCATTACAAAAAATCTAAATAGTTATAATTATTAATACAAAGATCGAACACTCAGAAAAAATTCCTTCGATCCGGCCGGATTCGAACCGACGTCTTCTAGCTTACCGTGTCAGACGCTATACCAACTAAGCCACGGAACGAACCAGCGGACCTCACGAATTTTTCTATATGCTTGCGTCGTGTCTTTGTATTTGGTTTTAGAAATCTATGAAAGATTTATCACCCAGTTAGTACCTTTACAGTTACCAGTCCTGGCGAGAGATGTCGCTATTAATGTCGCTGTATTTGAAATTTTTTTTTAATTGATATTCAATTATTTTTTGTGAAATTACTCCACTAGTTTGTTATAATTATTAATACAAAGATCGAACACTCAGAAAAAATTCCTTCGATCCGGCCGGATTCGGAATCTTATTAAGTGGACTCTTTTTTATAAAAAAAACTCTTTTTATATTATTCCAGGATGCGGTAATGGGTACACACTTTCAGAATTAGCCAGAGAAGGCTTTGTGAATCTCCTAGGCGTTGATTATTGTAAGGAAGCTGTAACGTTGGCTGAAAAAGTGACTAAACAGGAATACCCCTTCATTAGATATCAGGTAAGACAATTTGTTTTCATTCATTGATTCTAACAGCACGAGAGCTCCTTGTAAACGAGTTCATCCAGGGTAATGCTGTCACCATACCTTTTTCGGTCATCAAGCAGTAATGCAAACAAGCGTTATTGCATATCAGTTTTGAAGGGTGATAGTGAAATCATCTAAATACACTTTTAAAAAACATTTAAAATCTGCTATATTGGCCAAATAAAGACGGGGTATTATGCCTTTGCATTTCGCGCCTGAGGTGTCGTAACCGACAGATTTATTATTATTTTAGTAAGTAAATTAATTGCTAACCCGATAACAAACAATAATCAACTTTTACTTTAGTTACTTCCATAGTATAATGTCCTACGGGATTCTCACGTGGGGTAAAGCGGCAGATATTCAAACCATATTTGTATTGCAAAAACGAGCGATTCGTTCTGTGTACCGTCTAGGCTCTCGGGTTTCTCTCAGAGAAAAGTTTAAGAAGACTGGTATCATGACTGTGGCATCACAGCACATTTACTGAAATATTTTATATGCCCGTACAAATATCCATAATATTAACCTTAGAGCTAAGTCCAAACTCTTTTATGGGGAACTCTATACGTTTTTAAGATTCCGGAGCATATATTAAGTTTATCATTTCCTAAGTTTAAAAACTACATTAAAATATTTTGATCGAAAAATCATATTACAAAATTGAAGACTACGTGTTAGATAAAGATGTATGGAAAGACGACACGGCTCCAGAATCCACACAAATTTCATTCAAAGTGTATTCCATAGCATTTAAGTTTGTTTGAAAAGAGCAATCCCTAGAGTTTCTTACTCGTTCTTCTCAGGGAGGTCAACGTAGTGAACGAGCAGTAGCTTAAATGTGACGTTTTCAAGTGTAAATTTATTTTACCTATGGAATAAATAAACTTGACTTTGACTTAAAAATGTTTGCTTCCTTTGTTTTGTTTTGTAATTTATTATTTTATTGTTTGTTTTAAGTTTGTAATTTATTATTTGAATCTTTAATTCTCCGTAAGTACACTGTACAGTATATTTCATACACACATGCTTCGTGTACACAGCACACTCATTTGCACAGACAACAATCTTTATTCACCTCTCATTTTAATGTTCCGCGTTACCTTTTGGGAGGTAGCTGAAAATCAGCGCGTCGTTTTTGGCGACGGTTTTACTTTGAGCTGCGTCCTATACGCCATGACAACACACTTGGTACACTTTTCTATTATAACTTGATTTGATTTTGTATTTGCTGACGTATTAAACCGAACC